TTAATAATATTAAATTGCTTGTTAATTTAATTTGTAATATTATTATTTCAACTTTGGTTAGGACTGTGTTTCAAGACCAACAAATAATCGCACACTTTGCTTGAATTGGAAATTATATAAATTCACAAGAAATATTAATAGGCTTGAAGAATTGCTTTGATTTTTTATTCATATGTGCATAATCTTATATATTTTATATATTATATCGAGATTTATTGACAAACAAAATGCTTTTCTAAGCTTCTATTACTCATAATTTTTTAAAAGTTAAAAAAAAGTGAAAAACTTTACATAAAATATTCCGGATAACATTTTTTTTTAGAAAGGATTATAGCTTTAAATATTTTATCTCGTGCTGAATTCATCAGTTCTTTCAATTTTTCATCAAAATGTTACTTTTAACATATCATTCCTTTTTTTCCTATAATTTACAGCATTATTATTTTTTATAGCTGCGGATCTTGTAACCTTATAATTCAACTCCGGAAACATAAAATAAGTAGAAATTACATACCTTGTAGCCGTCAGGAAATTACATAGTTTTTTTTATGGCAAGCAAATTTTACAGATTTAAATCTTCATCACATGAAAATTCATAAATTACGAAATTCACGATGTTCGCAATATTAATGTATTTGCTAGTTATGCAATCTCTCATTATTGATATACTCAAGTCCTAAAAATATGTCGAAATTCCATGTCTACCTATATATTTTATTTATTATTACATTATAAGTATTATTATAGCACATCTATGAAGCTTAAAGGCATATTTAACATAATAAAATTAATCAGAAGTTTTTAGTTCTTTCAGTTAAAAGAGTTATTTATTTATTAAAATCATATGCATGCATTGATAATAATAAAGCATACATATTCGTGATCGTATGCTAGGGATAATAATTAATATAAGTCATAATGTTAATTACGAAAATATTGCTAATTTTAATTTTAATAAAATAAAGCTGCAAGTATTAAGCAAACATCGGTAATTTTTTTATTTTACTCTTCTTAAAGATGAAAAAATAATAAGAAGCGATACATGCGAGAAATTAGTTACTCGGAATTTAATTGATTAGTTTATAAGATCACTCAGTAAATTTTTCTTCTTCAGTTTTTTTTTAATACTTCCTGTACTTCTTTTGCTTTTTTTCTTTTATCGTGGTCTTTCTGTTCCATTGAATTTCTACTTCCAAAGAACGCTACCAAAGATTCTTTGATAACTTTGCTCGCTTTCTACCTCCGTTGCATTTTGGAATTTATAAAGGAAATTGTATCTGCGGCAAAGATCGATAAAATAAACATTGTTTGAGCTATACCAACAGATTTCAACGCTCTGTAAAATATAAAGTGCAATTGTTTATCGTTTATCTTTTTATTAGGGGCTATAATATAGAGAGACCTATTGAACTGCGAAATAATCTAAACTTCTCTGTTTCTCGATTCGAAGGTATAGTAATAGAACTTATTTTAAATGATTTATAATTTCCATAAAAATCAACTTATTTTTTTACATTATGCATTTTATATTCCTGTTTCTTCAAATATTTTTTATGAATTACGTAGCACGTTAAGTTATAAATCATGTCAGTAAAATACCTAACCAGAAAATATTTATTTCTTGATTTAAAAGAAAAATGAATATGATGTATAGTTTTTTAAAAATATATGTAATAATTATTATATGATATAAAACGTATATAAGCTATATAGAGTTTCTAAATCGATTTAGTTAAATAAGAGAAAATTTTTCATTGGGATTGAATAATTACACTTAATTCGTTGAAAGGCTTAGAATAAACGTTATGTATAAATAATAATTGATTGCTGTATATATTAAAAAATAAAATCAGTCATTTTATAATGCTCGTCATTTTCGAACAATTGAAATATTCCTAAAGTGATCGTAATAATTTTATTATTACCAAAAAAAATCATGCTGCATTTAATAATGATCGTTGCAGCATAAAAGACAGATGACACATGATACGTTTTTTCAGGAATGAGATTAGCGTATGGCTATTGACAACGGTGATATCTGTCACAGGCTATTGTATAGAAATGCAATTAAGCCCATTTATTCACTAGGTTGAAATGCGATTTATAATGTTTAACGCGGGATATCGTCAATTAACGTTCTATAGCGTACAAATCCAGCAAGTTTACTATTTTCTATGATATTGCATGTTATGGAAAGTGCGTTATCAGGTGTTTACCACGCGACTCTTCCCAGTCGCGTTTGGTGATTTATTGTTCGACCGCGTGCTGAATGTAAATTACACGTGGACACATCCAGAATGGAATATCGACATTTTGCGGACCTTTATTGTATTTTGGCAAGACACGTCTCGTGATTTTTGTGATTTATATATGCGAGAAGAAATTATGTGAGACATACTGACATACAGTATGTGCATAAAATGTATTTTTCAACGATATATAGTACAATATTTATGCGCGAATAAGTTTTATATCATACATATCGTTTTTAAAGGATGTTTTAATTTGTATCTGTGTTTTATAATTTTTCGAAAATGTAATAATATGTTTCTTTATTTAATTGCGGCCGAGGCAACATGTGATATTTAGAAGACGTTTTTATGTCTTTTAAGCGACGTTTAATGAGATTTTAAAGTGTAAAACTTAAGCTTTAAGCCTTAATCAATAAGAAATTGATGAATTATAGTTAATTGTTCTCTTCATATTCGATCGATCAATTTTTTACGGCTTAAAGTTTAAAGTTTAAGTTTGACACCTTATCTCATTGTAGAGGCCACCAGGGCCACTTTAAATATGCATGAAGAATAACTTTTTCACTACGTAAGAAAATAAAATGTAGCGTGATTTATATCGTAAATATTGTTTTTAAAAGGTGTTTTAGTTTGTTTTTTAAAGGTATTTTAGTTTGTTTTTGCATATTATAAACAACTTTCGGAAATGTAATAATATTATATCTTTTCAATAAATTGAGGATAACTTTTTCACTGCATAAGAATATGAAATACAGAGCGTGACAATTAATAACTAAATTACCTGTCAGTCTTCAACGACAATTCCGTATTATCATTCTGAAGATTCCTTCATTTGTAAATTCATGACGACTTAATCCGTGAACAAATTACCTACAATTGCTTGAAATTAATTTCTTATGCTTAATCATATTCTGAAATCTGTACTTACAATTAGATTATTCTTATTCGAAGATAATGTCGAGTATTTTTATTACTATACTATACTATAAGAATTGTAATTACATCGCTAGAGAAATGCATATATCGAGAACTTACAGATTTTAAATAATATACAAATATATTATAGATACGATATTCATGATATCTCGGAAATGTTTGATCCTCAATTACAGCTATATAAAAATTACACTTAAGTTCTAAAATATTTTGTTTGAAATATAGAATGCAAGTAAATTGATAGAAGAAAAAGGTTAGAGTTCTTTTCACCTTCAATTTAGAATCTCATAGTACCAATGATACAAAAAGATTGTACTATTGTTCAAAAATTTTCACTTCGAAATAATCCGTTGTATTCGAGCGCTATTTGGTATATAGCCAATTCTTTTATTGCCATTATGAAATACTTAGCATTTCACAAAGTATAAATAAATACTAAATATTTTGTCCCTTGAATTTTAAATTAATTTTGACGAATAAAATATTATTGTACATTAAATTTGCTTATTTAAAAAATAAAATCTGATTTAAATAAAAACAGCTGTTTAATTGCTTTACAAGTTTAGTATAACAGCAGTTTAATTAGATTATTCATCAATTCTGTCAAAAAACATTGTATTCTTTGGAATTTCATCGGTTTTATAGCTGTTTCTGTATATCGGTTTTCCGGCTAGTTTGTATTCTTCATAAGAGGACGGAAAGTAATTTGAAGCAAACAATACCTCGCTTGTATAGGCTGTCTAACAAATTGAATTTTGAATATTACGTCTATTTGGCGAATGCCTATCGTGATACGCTTTCACTGCAATACGTGGTAATCATTTAGCGTTTGACGAGGATTGTGTAAGGGTTGAGACAAGAGAACAGAATGCTGATGCATTCTCGAAATCCGTTTGTATCCGGTTCCATGAGAACAATAACGTGATTCAATCTTTGCAATGTAAAAATTTAGAGACAAAAAGATATTTATTTACTTTCAATTTATATTGCTAATTTATATTAATATTCGTTATTGTTAATAAATGTTTAAAATATAAGATAAATATATTATAAGTTATAAGATATATTAGCAGCATATATTTTATGTCTTATAATGCATATTATTTAAATATTTGCATCATACATTTGAATATTTGTTAACAATGGATATAAATATGTATTAAGTACACATTTTATCATATTATCTTAATTTCCATGTTTATTATCTAAAAACAAAGATACTTTTTTTATAGAACAAAGAGACTTTTAATTTATAAATCAAAATTAGTTTCAATTTGTTCATTCATTTAATCAAATCATTCTGTAATAATAATCTGTCTTAACTATAGAAGACTATATAAAAATACAGACAGTGAATTATACGATGCATTTTTGCAATTATTAACTATTTCTTTGGTCGGACGATTTTGCTCGGAAATTGATCAATTAACAATCCAATGTCGCTGATTACAATCAGCTGCACATTTCCTCAGAAGAAATAATAATTTCCTCCAAAGAAAATTCAATTCGCTAATTGTACAATTGACCAGCTTAGTGAATTTTCGCAACTTTAAGGCCACTTCGTAATATTGAAAGACTTTCATGATAATGACTCTGTTATGAAACTAGTCGTAAAATTAAACAAGTGATTCACTAAGAAAAACTGAGGAAAACGAAAATGTTAGGATACTTAACCAATCTTTTAATGAGTGCAACGTAAATGAGATGTTGATGATTATTCAACCAAGCTAATGGATGTAAAAAAAAGAAGCGAAGTGTCACATGATGAAAAACGGCTGAGTTTGGTAGATGACAGTGTTCAGCCTCGCAGGACTAATAATGATCGTAATGATGATCAACGTCTTGTTGACGGTCGTTTCGATGGCTGTTGAGCACTTTGGCGTGAAATCCGTCTCTGCCCGCGCGGTACTTCACCGTTCTAATATTACCGTCTGGTTCCTTTACGGTGTACTCCCCGAACACGTCCGAGCCTGCAAAACATCGACGTACGAGTTATTTGTCTTTCGTTGCTTCACACAAAGCTGGCACATTCAGACATGTATTATCGCTTCTTTTTATGAAGACGAATTGAGTTTTAGATAAAGGCGACAAAATATTAAACTAGATTTTCGCTTTTTTTAGAAATTTATATCCGAATCATTGATGATTTTTTTTATACGATAATATAAGAAGATTTAAATAATTATAATAAAAAAGAAATAAACTACTAAAATGGATTATCTCGATTAAATTCATGTTATTAAAAAGTACATGAATTGGATGGAAATTCTTTCATATGTTCAGAAAATGCTTTATGTGTATGAATTTTTTATTTAATTAAAAAATTATAAAAAGATTCATTAATCAAGATAATAATCTCATGTTTATACATTTCGTTTGTTGAATTCATTCATATAAAGGTAAATTCGAAATTAATAAATGCGGAAACTAGAGATATATTGTATAAATAATTTCGCTTACGTGATTGATGATTCATAATAAATTTATTATGATTCTATTATTTCCTGGATGGATTTTATGTAATACAAGCGATGTATGTAGTACAGCTTAAATGTAGAAACATGCCGCTCATCAAACATTGAATAAAGAAAATTATTTAAACGAGATTATTTTATCAAATATAATAATTGATTAACTGCAATTTAATTTGACGTTTTTACGTATGCACGCGTTTAATCTACACAATTGTGGATTTCCGCTAATGCACCATCAAAACATAAATTTCTTATAACCTATTTCAGCGATAGCTTTAATACACGTTGTTAAATTTAGATCATATTCCCGCTTTAAAATATAACGTAAATGAGATTTGTAATTGGCCCTAGTTATTCTAATTAGTTTCGCGTTAGTGAATACCGCGTTTGCAGTTGCTCAGCGACTCTTCTATCAATAGCTGCTATCTAAGCTTTATATGGTTATAAACTTTTCAGCCGGTGCGCGTCTGCCTTTGAAGGCGGGAATACTGAAGCGTGGTTTTTTAACAGTACACTTTTATCCTTCCTAACTTTTCTCTCGGCGCGTTGCTACGAAATCTCTCGCTCCAGTTAAAACTTGACGACGCTCGATGATCTTATTTTTGTATAGAGAAAGTCAGGCCTTGGAAAAATATTATTACGAAATTATGAAAAACGAGACGATTAAAAACGATATCTGCTTTGATATTATGAAGATTTTCGTTTCATCTTGACTTTTTTAAAGCAAGTGGCAGAATTGCGATTATCATACACACAGACAGACTGATTATAAAACGAAATACACACACACACACACACACACACACACACAAACACACACGAACGTGTGTGTGTGTGTGTGTGCGCGCGCGCGCGCGCGCGTGTGTGTGGTGTGTGGTGTGTGTGTGTGTGTGTGTATGTGTGTGTGTGTGTACATTTATATATCTTGTTCTTCTACTTTAAAAGTGATACAGCTCAAAAAATTGAATTTTTCAAAAAAGAGGGAAAATTATTTTTTAATCTAACAGAAAATTATTGATTAATCAAATAATATTGATGAAAAGAATATACGTAACAAATCAAAGGACTCTTTCTTTACAAACCAAATGATAATAAGTAACGGGCAAAGTAAGAGTCAACACGTTTCTTTGAAATTAACAAAAGAATATATTTCAATTAACTAAGATAAAATTACATAACGTTAAAAAAATTATGTAATTTTACCTTTGTTAATTGAAATATATTCTTTTGTTAATTTCAAAGAAACGTGTTGATTCTTACTTTGCCCGTTACTTATTATCATTTGGTTCGAAAAGAATATACTTTTAAAAACATGACATTTTTGTTTTATGATCTTTAAAAGAATCATTCTTTTTGAATGACGATTTTAATGTTCAACAAAATTATAACAAATTCGGAATAATTCTTCAAAATAATAATAATATAACTAGAAATATCACCAACAATTTATGTTTATCTTGATTAACTAAAATAACTAAATTTAAAATAAAATAATTTTTTCTTTGATTATATATTAAAACTCTAAAATGTTTCTGTAGAAGCCTATTCTTCTTATTTACAAAAATGATACGATTTAATTTATTTCAAATATATTCTTGTAGAACATATTATGATCTCTTTGAAATTCTTAAGAACGACAAATGTTGTTTGACGGACAGACTGTAAAGTTAAGTTAGTTTATTCTTGATAATTGGTAGAGTAATCCTTATCTATATAACTTATTTATAGTGACAATTCAAAAATCATATTTTTTGTATCACTTTTGAAGTAAGGGAACGATATAAACTTTACAAATAATTGTATATCAAATAAGAATTATAGGAAATCCGAGAAAATTTTCTGTTCTTAAGTAATGTATATAATCTTTTCTATGTAAAATATATGATATTAAAATTAGGAGCAAATTGCAACACAGGTACGATCGCACTAAAGTCCTCTTTTATTCGTTCAAAATCATTTTTAACATCGGTAAACGGCATTAGTGAAATATTCTTAATACTGCCGATCGTTCGTTCGATGAAGCATATGCAAGTCAAATCAAAAGAATTACTATGCCGCGCCTTTCCATTACGTATTCCAAGAGTAACATTATAAAATTGCTCAAGCAAAGGTCACGTTGCCACTTTTATTCGCACAATCAGTCTGTCCTACGTTCACCTCAGTACATTTGTCAGCTTTTTCTCCCTCGGAGCTCAACATCGCGATTCCACGTACGTAAGTAGGTTATTCTTATTCTCCCCACTTCGCAGTAGATACGAGATGACAAGAAGGGGATCCTCCTAAAGTACAAGAGATTAATCTCCATTCAAACTATGCAAACCTACCATCTCTATGCTCCTTTTGACCGTGATAATCGCCCGTATGGTAATCTTCGATCCCATACGAAAAGGCATAATGGGGTTGAGCGACGTAATCTTCATGAGAACCGTCGTCATCATTCCAATTGACTTCGTGTTCGGTGCCCGTCACAGGACCGAGAAAATGTTGGAAAGAGTGTGCATGTCCTTCCGGTTTTGCATCAATCAAAAATAACGTCGAAAACATCGATACGAATAGAACGAGCTGAAACATCTTGTTAAGCAAATTGTATAATTCTGTGAATTGAACATATAAGATTTATAATTTAGAAGACTTTAGAAGAATTTAGTAGACAAAATGTTAAAGCATATTAAGATTTAAATAATAAAAAGAAATTGTAATAAAGAAAGAATACGGCAACTTAGACAAAATCTTTAGAAGGATAAGATCTATAGAGACACAAAGATTCAGTTGCGATAATATGACGGGTTGTATTGATTAACAGAAAATAGGAAAGTAAGCGAATTATGTTAAACGGATAAGAGAAAACAGCTGAGTAAAGAATCCACAACTCTAATAAAATATATATATATATTGTATAAGAGAGAAAATAAAAGTTAAATTAATTGTTAGAAAAAAAAAGAAAACTATATAAAATAAAAAATATAATAACACAATTTTTTATTAAAGAAAATGAAAAATATATGATGTATTTTTTCCATGTTTATATTAAAAATATTTAATAATTAAATTATTAGGAGTAAAAAATTAATTAAAATACATCGTTTATATTAAGCAGAATCTATTATTAAAATGCTTGCATTTATCTATCATTTTATTTGCATTTATCTACCATTTCATCATGTTTTACTTTTGGAATGTATATTTTATTATTTATGTTTATGAACATATTTCTTGGAAACAGTTTAAAAAATAAATTATTTTCTTGCACTAGTATTTTTTTATATTTTCTTTACAGACATAATTTCTTTAATTGCTTGTTTAATTATTTATATAACTCCTTGGTTAAAACTTTCAATTTCTGACTTTCGCTTAAAAAATCAATTTGATAGTCATTAAAGAATTTTTTAATTAAGAAAAACGTGAAAAATTAACACTTTATATAACATATAATAAGAATGAAACAGTAGATTTGTTGGTTCCAATCTTAGCTGTAATCATATCCCGAACATATCCGCTTTCTATTGTACATATGAAGATCGAAATATGCTGACACATGCGGCTTTAATGACTTTCTACGAAGAAGTGCTAAAGTTGGCATGCGGTCTGAGGATAACACGTGAAATAATCGCGCGATATGCACTCACTTCGGAAGTCATGATGCCAATTACTGTCGCAGATCGTGTCTCCTTTCGTGCAAACGTCTGATTGATCCGTGCGATCGGCGATCGTTCCAAAAACTGCACGATTCACACGGTGTCATTGTCCCTTTTATAGATCTGCACTTCAAGTTCCCTCTTTGCTTAATTCTTCTTTGGATCCATGCCCGAGAGTTCGGCTAAGCGCTCTCGCGGACGTTGCAAAACACAATTATTCAACCGGTCCGGCCGATGCAAAAAGTACCATGGTGCTCGCTGAAGCGCGCATCGGCCAATCCCGGACTAATGGAGCTCGCTCGTTGCGGAAGAAGAGCGAAAAAATGGATCGCCGGACTCGTTCGTTTCTTTTGCTCTGCGACACGCGCGTATCGATCAGGATGCCCGGCGATCGATGACATCGAACGCCCGTCACGCGCGACAACGCTCACGTCATGATGCTGGATTTTGTACCGGCACATCGAAAAACTACTCCCCACGGTCCATTTCTCTTAATGCGCGTTCTTCCTTACGCAAGTTCCCGTTTGATATACCCGGGGGTATAATCGCCTCAATCGACGTAGATGGTGGAACAGTAGAAACGATCGGGACGAAGAAATCCTGCAAATATTACTTTCCCATCACTGAATAATTGAAGCATTATGCTTTCGTCAGTTTAATAGTACGGGTTATTTATAGCAGCTGTATAGAGAAATATTAAGGAATAGAGGAAGTTATAGAATACTATTTTGTTTTCTTGAAATAACTCAATAGATATTTTATTTATTTAATTACCTTTAGTGCAAGTTTTTTAGATAGAGTAATATCTAATTATACTGTAGAGTAGAAGTTCTTTGAATGAATGTAATTTTTAAAAAACTGAAGGGAGAAAAGTAACAGGAGAGATAAGAATACCATCAGTTAGTATATAGTATAACTTTATTCCCGGATACAGTTTGTTACCAAGTTTAGTTTCATTATATCATTTAAAAGCCATATTCAAGGTCTCCAAGCTAGAATGAAGTTACAAAATTAATGCTTTTTAACGAACTTCTCAAAATTACATAAAGAGTACACATTTGTTTGTTACTTATAAAACTGACGTGCAGCTTTTATGACAATGCAGTAAACACTAATGATTCGTTGTCATGTTGTAACTTTCAAGTAGGCAGTAAAGAAATTTGACAATTGCCCCCAAAATACATTGCAAGCTATAT